TTTTTTTTGTTGTTGTTGTATGCAGTTTCCAGCAAACTTTAATTAATTTTTTTCTATTTGTGAAAATTTCTACGTTATTTAAAGGTAATTTTTATTATAGGCCTATAGACCTAACACAGCATTATTAATATGATTTTGGAGGTTACAAAACTTTAAAATTACTTTAAAAAATGGAAAATAATTATATCATTTGATTTCAAGATATTTTGTATACCTTAAAAATAATTAATTCTATCCCGGGATTTCCCGGGATCCCGGGAAACAGTTCACTTTTATCCCGGGATCCCGGGACAAGCAAAATACCGGGAAATGAGAAACCCTAGTTATGACCCATGTATTCAACAATCTTCTTCTGATGACATCAAGAGAATCATGTGGAGAGTGCGAAGTGACCTTGTATCTAGATGGTGGTCAGTGGCGTGCATGACATTTAATGATAGAGGAGTTGTGCTGGCCTTGGAAAAAATCATTGGAAGCGTTATACGATATTTTGGTGTGTAGCATCCACCATCTAAACCATGTGATGTTGGTGCTCTGTAAAATGCATGTCTGTAATCTGGCTGCTTTACATCATTCAAATATTTTGGTTGTGGAAGCTATCTCTTATTTGACAATACTGCACTTCCATTGGGAATATGCATATACAAAGTTATATTCAAATATACAATAGCAATCTTATCATTTTTTTCACATGTAGTATACAAATTTGTAATAAGATACATAGTGAGGTCATAATAAAATATTAATTTTAATTAATTCAAAGTACATTAAAATATGAAAATAATAATCAATTTATATTTTAGAAAATACAAGGGAAGTGTAACTTCCACAGCTTCCATGGATGGCACACCATTGGTGGTGGTAGTCTGAGACCCTATAACCCCCCTTGGATCCACCCTAGCAGAATATAACCTGTGATGGCTTATATCTAGCAGATTTTTAGAACACTGAAACCTTTGCATAACTTGTCCCACCATATACCCTGCAACTATGAGAGCAGCCATTGTTCTATAGGCATGAGTTTATGATTTTAAATCAGTAATTGTTTCACTTTAATCAAAAAATACAGTAATTATGTTTTGAACAGTTTTTTTTGATACATGCAATGTATAAATTTTATTATTTATGTATACTTCTGTTACTATGAGAGCAGCCATTGTTCTATAGGCATGAGTTTATGATTTTAAATCAGTAATTGTTTCACTTTAATCATAAAATACAGTAATTATGTTTTCAGTCCACAAACATATTATATTCAATAAAAATCATTCTGTTTAATAAGTTACATAATGTTGTTATACAACCTGTCAGAANTTTTATAAAATTAAATTTTATTAAATTTTTCTCGTAACTAAATTTATTCATAGATTTAAAAAATTAAAAAAATAAACATGTATTTTAAGATTTCGGTAACTGGAAGAACAGATCCTAGCCGTATATTTCAATGTACAACTTCATGGAAAGAAAAATTAAAAAAAGACTTGACTCATATTCCAGTTTTATCATACACTATTCAGCACAAGTAAGTACAAATTCATTATTGAATAGTAAAACAATTTGAATAATAAAAAATAAAACTAGAAAAGAAAAAATATAACTATAATAATAATGATAATCTGCTTTATTAGAATTCATTTCAATAACAGTTTTTCTTGAGTATTTTTGGGCACAAACCTATCAGGAGACAAACAAGTACTTGAGAAAATGATTAAGAAAAACTACTATTAAAGTTGATTCTAACAAAGTGCATCACTGTTATTATTTTTAAAGAACCTGGAGTTTGTTTTACATTAAAAATAAAACTTCCATTTGATTCCATACAATAATATATTCTTTGTTTTGATTATATTATCTTGTAACAGTCTAGAAGTAGAAATTTTTCTATAATACAAATGTTATGCTGTAATAGAATTTTAGTTGCATTAATTTTAATAATAAAAATGATAAAGAATGGATGTCTGAATGACTAGGACAATTAAGGTTGCATCCTGCTGCTCTGGGATTGAATTTGGGCAAGGAGTCCCAGAAGTTTTTCTAGGTGTTATGTCTTGAATTCACAGTATGTTGGGCTTCACCATATCTGGCTGTTCCATTGTGGGCTTGATCAAATCCATGATGGTATGGAAAAAGTTCCTCTTAGTGCTCAAATGGCAAAAAGTTAAAAAGAAAAAAGACTCAAAAATCTACTAAATTAGATTTGAATTAAAATTTATTTTTTAAGAGTATTTTCAAATTTATCTTTATATAAGATTAAAAAGAAATAAAATTCTAAAATTTATAAAGAATGATCTTTTATATTTTTTGGATTTCATTACTACCTTTATTTTCCATGACTGAATATTTAGAATGAAAATCATGACAAAAGAAATTTACTGTTATATGCATGAGAAATCTGATTTTTTCATTTTAATTTAGTTCTGTTTAATTTTGTTTCTTATTTCTCACAAATGTGGACTGGTTCTGTCATAAAATGAGCAAACTTGATATCATTGATATACTGTAAGTATGGAGTGATATTAAGGTGACTACAAGTCTTTTTCCAGCTTATTATTTTGAAAATGAATAATACTATTATTTCAATCATGTCAAGGCCCTTGTATGCATACCTTGCCTGCTTTCCTACCTTTATGTACCCTGACATATCCATTGTTCCTGACACCTGTTCATAGTTATGTCAAAACAGCCTAATGGAGGACATTTTGGTAAAATGGCCATCTCACTTCCCAAGGCCAATGATGCAACTTTTCTCAAAATGTGTTTGCCGTAATGTCTTTGTATGGTACAGGCATACTTGGCATTTGAAGACCTGCAAACAACAGGTAGACTGATTGCAGAGACAATGTTTAGAGGCCGATAGTAGTTTACAGATTGGGTAGACCGCTGTTAAGAAAAATTACATTGCAGAGACGCTGTCTCTGCAATGTAATTTTTCTTTGTGGCAGGCAATGTAGACAGCTATTAGAAACAAGTTGAGTGACCTACTTTCTAGATTCCCTCAATAGCAGGTTTAGACATCATTTTACTCGAGTAGAAGTTGCCATTTTCATTTGTTGGTCATGTTAAAATGGATATTCTTAATTTAATAAATCTTGCAAACGGGATGAATCAAGAACATCATTCATCTTGACAATTACAAAGAGAGAGGTTAATGCGAGATCAGAATAATTCTATAGANACCAACAGCCAAAAAAAATTCTACAAAATTAATTCGATTACTTATCAACAGATGGCGATATGCAATAGGATGTAGGCGTAATTCTCATAATTGATTTTAAAAATTTAACATAATTTCTGTAAATATATCACTAAACACCTTTTTGGCTGCTGAGATTTGTTTTTATTTGGCAAACGTTTTCAACCTATTAAATAGACCATCCTCAGGTTCCATTTTTCTTGGAACATAATAAATATCATTCTAAAATAGAATACATAAATAGACTAAAAGAAAGAAAGAACAACAACGTTTAAATATTTGAATACAAAGCAAAAATAATGAAAAAATTAACATAAATAATGAATAACTGCAAAATACAAAATTTAGATAATTGATAATTTTCTTATTTATTTTATAAATTTGTCTTGTAATTTTTGCTATTTATGCATTTTTTAAAAATCGATAAATATTAAATATTTAGAGAATGTTCACCAAACGGGATGAATCAAGAACATCATTCATCTTGACAATTACAAAGAGAGAGGTTAATGCGAGATCAGAATAATTCTATAGAAATTTATTCCAAAGACGAATTTCGAATTCGGTATAGATCTTCTAAATCTGGATTTGTACATATTTTAAATCTTATTGGCGACGAAATTAGACATCTGGATGAGTGAGTCTCTGTGTGCTTTTTTAGACTACTCGGATATGATTTTAAGCATTCTGTGACAGTATCTGACAGCAATCAGACTGCAGCTGTAATCATTTACATACCTGTCCAAGACATAGCCATATGCCAAGATTTTCAGTAATAGGACAATTCTATCTTGTTGAATAGATTTTTTTTTTGTCAATGAGTGCATTATTACTTAATTATTTAAATTATTTCAGGGCAATACCTGAATGGAGGAAAAATATTAATGCTGAAAAAGTTTTTCATAAATTGCCCTGCTGATTTTATTCTAAGTGTATTTAAACATTTAAACAATACAATGTCTTCTTATTTTGTTGTTATTTAAGATAATGATTAAAAATTCTATATGTATATATACCATAATAAATTTTATTATGNAATTTATTATTAGAGAGGTTGCGGCCGACGTTTTCAGCGCAAAAACGTGTACGTCGGACGTTCAGCGCCGCTTTCCTAAAGGCCTAGAAGTTTGGCAGTGGTGTTTAGGACATCGAGCATGATTCCACTGACTATCCAAACACCATTGTCAAACTTCTAGGCTTACAGGAATGCGGCGCTGAACGTCCGAGGTACACGTTTTCCCGATAAAAACGTCGGCCGCAACCTCTCTAATATCTATATTTTAAAAAACCCAATTTTTTTGTGCATTTTCCGACGTTTCAAGGTTCTCTGAGTCCAAAAATGTAAAAATCTTGGGGAAGGTCATTTTTTGACCGATCGCCATACTTTCCCTCTGCTATATATGATCTGGGAAAGTAAAATGGTATCAGTAACAATAGACTGTATTCAGCGAAAAACTTCTCAACAGATGGCGCAGCTAAGGAACTTACTAACACTTCCGATTTCTAACTTTCTGTTATCTTCCTAAATCAATGTTATTACAAGTGTGAGTATTTCTAGAAATATTGTTTATGATGTTTTAAGATAATGAGTGCAAATTTACATCCTAAAAAGAAACGCGGAACAGTATGTTGCGTAGTATGTTGTTTTAATTTCATAGGTGAAACATCCAATGATCTCAACAGTCCAGAGTAGGTATCATCATTGCTTCCTCACAAATCTCAAGAATAATATAAAAGATAAAATAGAACGCTACAGTCATTGTAAAAGACTAAATTCAGATGACTCTTTCAAAAGAGTTAAAAAAAAAAAAAAACACAATAGTAGTATAACATCCTCTAATCATTCCACAGAGAAAAGCACTGAAGAACCAGCATATCACTTACAAAAATAATGCAGCTGAAACTTCACTCTACATTAATATCATATTAGAATAAAATATAAAATAAAAAAAAAATGTTAGTTATGTTTAGACAATAGTGAATTTAGAGGGAAAAATGTTCGAATTAGAATATTACAACTAATATTTATCAAGATCTATTTCTTTTATCATTTAATAGTGGATTACCAAATAAGGAAGTATTTAGCAAATTGTTAGAGTTTATTAATACAGCTGGAATAATTACAGGTAAATTTCAACTGAGGAAAATTTTACATTGTGCTGGCCTTGATAAAACTGAAAAGGGATAAAACTGATTTGTTAATAAAGACAAAAGTTTTTGATTTGGAATTGGTAAACCTACAGTTGTAATCCGTGCATTATTTTATTTGCTGTCGGAAATAACGTTTTTGCTGCTGACAGTTGAAAACACTTTTGCTAAAGAAAGAGCTATCTCAAAATGGCTGATATAAACAATGATTTTCTTTCTGCTATATTTACACGCGTTTGTTCAATATTATTAGAAGAAAAGCAGTTAAGTTCGATGTTGTTTATAAGAAAACGAGGAAATGGCATTTATTTATGGCATTGACGATGACTGATTCCCAACAACGAAGAAAGCGTGCAAAAATCGTTGGTTACGTTCACGATATCGTATTCGAATGAAATCTTTAAAAGCCGTTTTCTAATATCACGATTAAAAATTTGCTTATTTAAAACAGCAAAAAATTGATTATTATTTGGTAATCGAAAAAGATACTTTCTCATGGAGGCGTCTATCTTGTAAGCACTTTTTAGCGTGGTCCAGAGGTGCTGGATGCTAGTGTGCTGAAAGCGCACCTTAAGCGCCGACAGTAGGCTTAATAATTGAACACATGCGCTAAAAGCGCTGCAAGCGCGCTGAATAAAAAGAATGCGCGGAATATTTCAGGACTGGCTTAACTTAATTGTACCGTTTAATTGTATATATTGTACTAAAGAATACAATTAAATGGCCACAGAGGAGTACAGTTAAAAAAATAACTTGCCAGATATTTTCAAAGACCCAATGTTTGAATGCATTATTGACTAATTAAAACTTCCAAACTTTTATACACTTTCTTACTATGTAGGTATACGTAGTTTGCGTGAAATAAATTCAAATATCTCATCAATATGTGGGCTAGTTTTTGACTGTTTAAAAACGTTATTTCTGACATAATCGTGTAGGCCTAATAGGTCTGGAAATTCCAAATTTTTATATTTGTTTTTCTTGATATCTTAAATTTGTTTCAGTGTCCTACGAATTAAAATAATTTCCAGGCATTGTTCACTTGTGTGTCGTTGCGCATGTTTTTGTTTATCCAAGAATACAGTGCACCCTCGCTATTCTGAACTTCTCTTAAATCCAATATTTTAACATATATACTTGGGACACCGCTAACTGGGCGCCGGACAAAATAAGAGATGAATAATAGACAAAATATACAAATTTTTATTTTATTTATTAAAAATTCGCCATTTTTACTTTTCTGGCAGTTATATAGGCTATAACAGAGGGAAAGTATGGCAATCGGTCCTTCAGTTAAAAGTTCTTAATTAAAATCTACTGCATATTGTGTCACTCATTCTACTGTATTAAAAACAAGACTTGCGTAAACACAAAAAATCGTATATAGTAATAGATGACTTATTCGTCTAGACTGCTTAATTCAAGCTAAATTTATTGTAAGAAATCAAATAAATCATTATAATAATACTTTCATTATCTTAATCATTATATCATTAACATTTTTCGCTCGAAATGCCGGTCGCGCACGATGGTTGTGACTAATTTACATTACGTGGCCAGAGGAGAAATGGTAACACAAATACTGTATTTATTATTATTTACGTATAACAAAAAATTTTATAAGAACAAAGGAAATATATACATTATATAATAATGTATATATTTCCTGATGAAGGTCAATTAAAAGGAACGAAAACATTCGATTAGTAAATATTTTACTGCATAATTAATGGTTCCTTGTTTTATAACAAAAAATATATGAAAGTTAACAGGTATATATCAAACTCAAAGAAAATGTTGATTGTTCTAATAGCCAAACTTTGATTGAAATTTGAGATTAACATTTTTGAATTTTCGTAAATGCCATAGCAAGTTACGTTTGTTTGTGCATGTTTTATAAATTACAAAAGAAATTGATTTTACGGAATGCGTTGTCTATTTACTAATTCGATTGGTGCCATCGTTTTCCGAAACCTGTCACGTGCGTCGATCGAGCAATCGCAGCACCTGTATTTTTTTGTAAAAGAAATAATTACGTTTCAATACAATCTTATATGAAAGAAATCTAAATAAAATTACTTTCTTTCATACAACTGACTTCTTAGGCGAATCGGATCGCTTCTTGCAAGAGTAGAAATTCTATCGCCGAATCGGTTAATCCTCTTTTCTAAAAATAGAGACGAAACTAAAAGTCGGATTAGACAAATACAACGGACACAGTTACTCTTGTAGTACACAAATCTCCCATTAAGATCCTGTTGTACAATATGGTTGTTACAATTTTAAGCCATCCCACCGACGAAATTATAATCAATTGCAGCAGAAATAAATTAAATTTTATATTTTATTTCTGATAAATTGTTTCTATTTATCATGTCAATAAACACGTACAGTAGAGCGTCGATTTTCCGAAAGTCAATCATCCGAAAGAATTCCAGTCTGCAAATTTCAATTTTCGCCAGTGCTGTGGCGCTTCAATCTTTGGCTATGTCTTGGGCTACTCAAATATTTTATGTTTTTGATACTAAATTAGCATCTGAAGTATAATTTTTTATTATTTTTATATTTTTCAATATATTTATTTTGTTTGTACAAAATAAAAAAATTATTTTTAACGATACAATAGTCTTTGTTANTTTATATTTTTCAATATATTTATTTTGTTTGTACAAAATAAAAAAATAATTTTTAACGATACAATAGTCTTTGTTAGGTTTAACATCGACGAAAATTCAACGCGAAGCGACACGCAACGGAGAAAAATTTCGACATCGGATACGTTAAACTATCATCTCGTACGTAAATCAGTTATCCGAAATATCAGTTATCCGGACAACCCCAGTCCCCAATTGATTCGGAAAATCGACGCTCTACTGTAATTTTAAATTTTTGAATAGATTTAATTCTTAATTAATTATCCGCATAGAGAACTGAATTCATTGAATTTCTTTAATTTTCTCTGAATATCTAATTGATCGTTGAGCATTAAAGTTGCTTTTCAATAGTTTATCTTTAAATATATTCATTTTACATGCTTTTAAACTGTATCTAAAATTATTGTCTTTTGTGAAATAATTATTTAAAAATCTACCGACTCCGACTTCGCCTTACCATTCGATTCTGACTCCGACCAGGGTGGACTTGTTACCAACATATGCCCGGGAATTCTAATCTCATCACGTGACCTCAGAATGAACCCTTCAATAAACGGAGTTCTAATAAAGATAGAAAGTAGAAACTTTACTTCAAAGCTAAAAAACTCCTGTAAGTAATGACATAGTCAATATATAAATATGTATTCGAAAATTTTTTTACTTTCCCGGTTATTATATACATATATATAACAGAGGGAAAGTATAGCGATCGGTCAAAAATGACCCTCCCCAAATTTTTACATTTTTGGATCTTGAATCTACCTTGAAATGTCGAGATATGCAAAAGATTCTGTTCCCCCCTATATGTATGGATACTAGAATGTGTGTGGGAAGCACGATTTTGTTTAACATGTTCGAAGCTTAATAACTTCTGTGGTTTTTGAATTGGAGTCGGATGGTTTAACTTTTCTGTTAAGTTATGGAAACGCAACACTTAGGCGATCTGCCTAGGGAGATGCCTTCCGGGAGGTCTTTTTAAGAGTAACTGGCCCCTATTCAGACGTTACAGAAATCCCAGAAAACTCTCGTCTTGGAGGGGCGCGAACCGACATCCGAACTCCCACTATTCAAGGAAATGGAACCGCTTGGCCACTGGTGGCACATCCAGCCAGGAATGGTTTAACACAGAAGTTATTAAGCTTTAAAGTGGTTGAAATAAATCGTGCCCCCCCACACACCGGGAGTCGGAGTCGGTGGATTTTTGACGAA